AATTAAAGGCTAGAGCCCCAGGATATGCCACACCAATAATTAGTAAAAATGTCACCTGTGATGATTTGTGTTATTAGTTACCTATTGCTATGTGAGAAATCACTCTGAAACTAACTGGCCCAAAATAATACTAAGCATGCATTTATCTCTCACAGTATCTGCAGGAATTCTGGAGCAGCTTGAGGTCCCTCACGAGGTCACAGTGAGGTAGTGACAGGGCCTGCAGTTCCAGAGGTTTGCCTGGGGTGTAGGGTCCACCCACTCACTCACACAGCGCTGGCAAGTCACTTTCTCTCCATGGGTCTGCCTGAGGGTCCTCACCAGCTGCTGGTTGGTTTCTCCCAGAGCAAGTGATCCCAGAGATCAAGGCAGAAGCTTCGGTGTCTTTTATGACCTAACCCTAGAAGTCACATACTGTGACTTCCACCATGTTTTCTTGGTCACTTTCTCTCAGACTACCCCAACTACTGTGGAGAAAATAAACTTTCTAGGGGCAAGATTTGAGGTAAAGCCATCAATTTTGGCTCCTTTCTTCTTCTTCTTCTTCTTTTTTAATGATTGACTCATACATGTGGTATGTGTTGTAATCTGCTCCAAATTCTTTAGGAAGTAGGTAGGATTTGAACAATCAACGGTAACTATAACGTGAGTTCCAGATCGCTGTATTATTTCCACCATGAAGAAAGCCCTCGGCCAAGGATAATATATGGACATGACTCCGTTGGCCAGGACAGAATTCTGTCTTTCGTTTGTTTCTTTTTTTTCTTTTTCTCTAGCTTCTGTTTTTCTCTAACACCCAGCTTTCCCGAAAACTGCAGTTTTTCTAATTCATCTAAGTTTTCCAGCTGCGTTTCTCTTCCTTTCTCATTGGCTACACTGGTTAGATCTGCGGATGGACCGAATTCTTCACCACGATATTATTTTATTATAACAAACAACAAATAAAAAAGCAGACTGCTGAAATAAATCATGGCATAATCATACGATGGATATTATTGAGTCAATGAAAATGTAAAATCTTCGTCATAAGAAAATGCTCATGATGCATGTCTAAGTAAAACAGTACACAGCCAAACATTATATTATGCTCATTGTATCCATTTTGGGGAAAACGAAAAAGTATATGTGCCTGGATGTGGGTGTGTAACCGAGTAACCAAGAATAAGAATGAATATTCCAGGCGTTGGCAATACACCGGTATTGAGCTCCTTTGTGGTCATTTGACCAAAGTTACAGTGGTAAATCACAGCCAGAAATAAAGGCGGAGGCTTCTCGAAAATGAGGAAATGTTCACATCTGTTCATTATCCTGATAAGAGATGAATCCCGGAGCTCGAAGTGGTGGGGAGGTCGGGAGGGCTTTTGGCCCTGCCCAGGCTCAGAGAGCAGGAGACCCAGATTTAAGTGTGGAGAAGTTCAGAACAGTTATGGAAAAGCGTGAACATCTATTATTTATAATTATGAATTTTAATTCATATATTCAATTTTTAATTTCCTCTCTCTAGATCCTTCCCTTTTATTCACAAATTATATGGATCAAATTAACTCTGCATAAGAATTATATTAGTAGGGAATCCCCCAGATGAGTTTTAATAAATGAGAAAAAATTTAATGTAATATACTTTAAATAATGCCTCTGAGTCTTTCCGAATTTGGGAGATATACGATTATCAGTTCAATTTAAATAATTGGCAACCAAGAGTTTTAAATACACATCTAAACTGATTAGTAATGAAGGAAAACTGTGACTATAAATTCATGATAGTAATAATAATGGGTAAAAATTATTGCATACTTACTACAGAGTACTTATTTTTCTAAGGGTTTTAAGTGTATTACTTATTTAATCCTTGCGATAACCTCATGGCTAAGCTACCATTATTATTTCTATTTTTTAGATGAGGAAAATAAGATACAAAAACTTGCCCGGGGGCACACAACAGGAAAGCATATGGCCTCAAGGACAACAGAGCACTTGATTCAGCATTAACTCTAACTCATCTGAAACCATCAAGGGCCTGGACAGGACATCCTAAGTGCATACCAGGTCAGTGCCAAGGTCAACATATCCAAAATAACGCTGTAATAAGGGGAAAGAACTAAAGTGCACAGCCAAGAAGGTCTGAACGAGTGGGGACCAACCAGGGAAGCTGTTCAGATTAGATTCAAAGAAGATGAGCCTGGGGGATTTTTGAGCCAAAGCACAGTGGTTGTTGCTCAGGTTGTTGTTGCTCAGGCTGTCGAGTGAACGTGCCTAGAGGGAGAAATAAAAAAAAAAACAAAACAGAGCACACTCTGGCCCTCAGCCACCTTTCTCCAGGCAAATCAGAGCCGACCTTCACCCCCGTGAAGGCCCCAGCTCCTTCTAGGAAGCCTTTGACTCTCACAGACAGACCTCCGGCCCTGTCAGTGTCTAGAAGTATCTCCTGGGAAACAGTTAAAAATTCCCAGGAGACACTCTCAGAAACCCACCGGTCTGCCTTAGGACCCATGAATCTACATTTTAAAAAAGCTTCCCAAGCAGTGCAAGTACCACACTTTGAGAAAACTGCCCCTCTACACTTTCTAGGTACGAAGTATAGAAGTTATCCACGGAACCATTGGGAGGTAAGTACTTCCTCTCTGAATATTTGGGGTTTCCTGGCCAGCTTACCTTGGTGGCTCCCTAGGGTATATGGTAGGGTTTGAGGTCTCAGTGAACCTGGCATAGCAAGGAAAGCTACATGATACGTGGACAGAGGCAGCTGGAGAAGGTTGCCATGGAATTGTCATACATCTCAATGTCACATATCTCAAAAGATCCCAAACTTACAGTTGCACGTGAATCTAATACTACATCGCAATAAAAAGTTTAAAAAGAAAATTCCTAACAGAAGTTATCCAACCACTGACATGGGCAGGCACTATGTGTGTGCACGGAGAAGGGATGCTAGGGTGTTTCACAGCAATTCGGTGTTAGTAGCAACTCCTGGACCCAGTCTTTTTATGAATTTGGAGGAAGAAGGGAATTTAGGTAGCTGTCAGGATGTGAATGGTGCTGCAAGGTGAGAGATTATAGGAGGTATTAACACTGTAGTTATTATGAAAAAGAATGCAGTACATTGGTATAAATAAACACTGGTCCTAGGGATATTGATTGGTCATGTTGTCAGTCGGCTCTTTACTGGCTGTCTCTCAATCAATGGAAAGCAAAGGCCAGTAGTTATGAACATAAAGTAGTTTGGAAAGCATCCTTGGAAAATGGGACAAGAACTGGGGGCACGGTCAGAGCTTAGGTGGCCAGACAGTCCTTGGGGGTAGAAGCAGAAGGTCTCACTGCTGAACAGGAGAGCAGTGGCTAGAGTGGGTTGGGAACATAGTACCAGGGTAGAGAAGGGAGGACAAGTCATTCTGGTGACAGAGCCCATCACCACTGGGAAAGAGACTTGCTTTGAGAGGAGTTTTGATTGGACATTAATCTAGTGTGAAGGTGTCTGGAGACATTCTGCAAGCAAATGCAGAGGGTAGCAGTTCACTAGGTCACCCAGGCCTGTCCTTTACCTAGACACAGGCATTACAGTAGGGAGAATCCTGAATGGTATCATTCAAAGCTCTGCACAGGCCAGGGGCTAGTGGGATTGCATACCTTTCTCTGCTATGCCAAGTTCACTGAGACCCTGAATGCTACCATGCACCCGAGTAAGCCACCAAGATAAGCCTTTTGCCTTGACATGCTCTCCCAGCATTTTGCAATATCACATGGCCTTGAACCTCAGAGATTCTAACTTGTGATGTGTAGGTAAGTGCTTACACAGTAGCATCTGTGTAGGCATCTACCTGCTTCCTTGATAGATGTAGCCAGGGACACAAAGTTCTCTGGTTTAAGATGCTCCCATAACAGGGCTGCCTCCACTGCTCCCTGGCCTTCTGGATCAGGGAATGGACAACTGATAGGTAGTTTGGGCTGCTTAATATGTCAGAGTTCAACACTTAGAAAGCGAGGCACCTTCCTTTGTGTCCAATAAATTTGTTAGTCTCAGTTACTTAGGTTGCAGTAGTCTAAGCATTTGGGTCCTAGATGCCAGGTCCACTCAAGGCTGTGCTTCTAGATATTGACAGCAACTTTGATGGCAGCCACTCCCACAGTGGGCGATTGCCCTCAGCTGGAGCCAGCTTCTAGGACTTTGAGACTCCAGGGACTGTACGCACTAGCTAGAGCCTAGGTGGGAAAGGATAAATAAGCCATCTTCAGACTCTTAAAGAATTATTCTTTGTTTTGAATTAAATCAAACTTCATTTAACTTCCAGTTTTTTGTCCCACATATATTTCTTGGGGCCATATCAATTCTACTTATATTTTCACGTGAAGATAACTGACGTTACTGGGTCTTCTTCAATTCTTTTCACGGATCCTCGTCCAGTGGCTCACCTCTGAGCATGCTCCAACCCATCTATGTGCCTCTTAAAAGTGTGCTAAAAAGAATGCAGTACACCAAGTGTGGTCTGATGGATACTGAGTAAGGAATCATCACTCCTTTATTAAAGATGGCGTGCTTTTTTTCCTTTCCTTATTTATTTTTTGGATCGCATCATAAGTTTACGTGGTTAGCTATATTTGCGAAAATCTCATCTTCCCTTCCACTCTCCCCTCACCTATAATTGTGCATTTGTTTCTGGAGCCAAGCATAAGTTTTAACATTTAGAACACAATGCCTGACTTAGGGTCTAACTCATTATAATAATCATTATTAACTTCATCTTATTTGCTATGACCATTACAAAATGGAATTATCATTTAAAACAAGATGGAAGTTCAGACTCCACCTCCTTCAGCCTCAAAAATGGAAACACTACTTTGCATTACCTATGCTTTTGGATTGTTAGACCACGGGCTCTTACTCCGCCCCTTTTAGTTGGGCCCCGCCCCAGAGTGGCGTCTCTCTGGCCCCGCCCCAGAGCGGCGTCCCCCCTGGCCCCGCCCCCTGCGACTCGGCTCCCGCGGGGAAGCGCTCAATACAGCCGCTGATTGGCTGGCTGGGGCGCAACTTGATGGCGTCGGGCTGGCGCGCGGCGGCCCCGGTGGCCGTTCTCGGGCAAAGGCCACCTGTGTAAGGGGTCCCGCGGCCCGAGCGTGCTGTGGCCTCGGTGAGTCGGAAGCGGAGGCATGAGCCACCTTTACGTTTCGGCATGAGTTTCTTGATAGACTCCAGCATCATGATTACCTCCCAGGTGAGCCCCTGCTTCCCTTTCCCGAATCGTCGCCCGCGGCCCGCGCCTGCCTCATTCTGGACCCGGGCTCCGGGAAGGTGTGGAATTTGCTGCGTCCGGCTCCCTCCGCCGCGTCCTGCAGCCGTCAGCGCCCCCACCCGGCCTCCATCTTCCCACCTGCCCCCTTTCCCCGCTTTCGCGTCCGCATTTGGAAGGGGTCAGGTGGCCTCAGCGCTCAGAGCCGGTTCCGCGACGAGGGAGCGGTCCCCAGCTTCCCGAAGCCTCTGGACTCAGCTGCTGACCCATGCATTGAGGAAGAATGTGGTTCCGGGCGCGGAGTGCGTCGCAGGCCAATCGGGGCTGGCTCCTGGGGACACGTGGGGACTTTGCTGGCTAGTTATCAAATCCTGAATCCGGGTGCGGAGGAATTTGCCGGTGTCACTTCAGAGATCTTCAGAGTACGAGGTTTCGATCGTGCACTGACACCTCATTCTTTGTCCTCTGTTCGTTGCTCACATGTTTTGGATCTTTTTCTGACCCTCCTTCCTTCCCGACTGGTCACCTTCATTCATTTGTACAGTCAACCAGCTTTTATCGACCGTTATATAAGGCTCTGAGGGTACAAACATAAATAAGACACTGACTGTCCCTGCTTTATAGAAGCGTCGTCTTGTGAGCCTTTTGTTTTTACCATGTCATTCGTTGAGTTAGCCTGTTTAATTCATAGCATTTATCACAGCACTGATACCATTTATGTATTTGTTAATGAATTTATTTTCTGAAATGTAGCCTCTCCCAGAGCAAGTACTCAATAATACATGTTGGCTGGCTGTTAATATTTGTAAAAGCTCAGACTATCTAATTATTGATCTTTCCCCCTCTCATTTTTCCAGTAATTTAAAGTATGTTTTCCTAATCTTTTTTTTTTCAAGTGGCAAAAGTCGTTTCTTTTGGGGATTCGAGGTAAATTAAGTCTTTAGGTTTAGATCCAGTTTTTATACTGCTTCATCCTAATGCTTCTGTCTTTGGAAGAGAGCATTGTCCTTGTCTCTTGAAAAACTTTTATTACAACATTATAGAAAGTATGAAACAAGGAACACCCTAATACAATACCTTTTTTTATTTTTGAATTACCATCCTTTATATAGTTATCATAATTATTGTTTTTATTGGCTGCATAATATTCCAACGGATTGATGTACAAAGATCTGGACATGTGATTTTCTTGCTTTTCAAACTTTTCTGTGGCTTCCTGCTGCCCTTGGTGACAACTCGGGGTTATTTTTCGCCTGATATCAACTCAAGAAAAATGACAGTATTTAAGTAGCATTTTTTTTTTCACTCAGAATAAAAATAAGAATTTCAGTCAGGAAATTGGCATTGCGTTGTGGCCTCTCGGATTTTTAACACAGACATAATTGATAAGTTGAACCAAGAAAAAGGCTTTCTGATTTTTTATTCAGTATAATCCTTTAATTTTCACAATGCATTCACATGCAGTATTAAATTTTAATTCTCAAACCTGCTCTTTGCAAATGAGGAACTAAGACTCAAAGAATCCTTTGCATGGAATATTCTCTGTCCAAATATTTATGTGGCTGCTTCATTATCATTTAGGTATCAGTAAAAATGTCACTTCGGGAAGGCTTTACCTGACTCCCCACTCCCAATCAAAGTAGCCTCCATTCCAGCCACCTTCTATCTCATTTCCCTGTTTTAATTTCTTCTTAGCATCATCTATCACTATTGTTTATTTATGTGTTTAAAGTCTGTGAGGTGCGGGATATTGTCTTCTCTGGTGTAGTGCCTAGCATTTAAATCAGTTGCTGGCACATAGTACAGGCCTAATAAACATTTACATAATAAAAAGCACCTGTCTAGAGAGGCGTGGTTACCTTAGGAACACCCGCCCCTCATTTTTCCTGTTTTGTATCAGCTGAGAGGCGTGGTTACCTTAGAAAGCACCTGCCTAGAGAGCGTGGTTACCTTAGAAACACCTGCCCCTCATTTTTCCTGTTTTGTATCAGACTAAAATCTGAAGTTAGAGGTCAAGTACTGAAGCTGGTCAGGTGACATCTTGGTGTAGAGATTGTTCACCATGCCCCAGGTTAAAGTTCAAATCCTTAGTGTGGCTTTACCAGGTGTCTCATGACGAGACCCCAGCTCCCACCTCGCCAGCATCGGCTCTCATCATTTCTCACTTCACTTTACAGTCTTACTAAACTTCTACTTCCCTAACCTGGCCATGCTATTATGCCTTCAGACTTCCACAGCTGTTGTCTCTTTCTGGACTTTTCTCCAGACCCCTCCACTTCTGTCTTCTATTCAGCTTTCTGATGTCAGCTTGAACATCCAAGAAGCTTCTCTCAGACTGGGCCAAGTGTCCCTATACATGCCCGTTTCCCTTAGAACAACACTGTCACCCTGCTGTGTAATTTCTTGTCTGTCTCCTCCACAGATTGTAAACTCCTCCAGAGTCCATGCTCTCTTGTTCACCATTCTCTTCCTAGGACCTGGCACATATTAGGCACTAATAAATATTTATTAAATGAATAAAAGGGTAAATAAATGATGCAAGAAAGGGGTCTTTTCGGTCAGTTCTTTAATAACTGTGCTGCCAGCGGCCATCTTTTTTTTTTTTTTTTTTTATCTGTAGTTAATTTTCAATATAAGAGTCAGTTTTTGTAAAGGCAACTGTTATCTAACTCATGTTTTGAGCCCTCCGTACAGTCATGAGACTTATCATTTCCAAAGTATACTCTAAGTCCAAGGTCAAGACTCTGCACAGTTCTAAAAATATTTTTTCAATAAGAAGCCATGCAGATGTTTGAGATTGCCTGTTCCTTCTGCATGCTTTTTAGATCTTCCATAATCTTGCCAGAATTCATATTTATCTTGGAATTAATGGAGTCTCCAGTTACTTTTTCATACTAGTTTTATGAAAATCTTTTTAAGCTTTTTGTCAATGTGAAAGGAGCCGACAATGAAATATTAAAGGTATTTTTTCTCCCATTTCCCATCCCCTCATATAGAATATCATTTTTGCTTGTTTTCCTTGTTTAAAGTTCCCTTGGCACCAAGTTTCCCTTGGTGATGATTTGTAATAGCCAGAGGGTATCCTAGGCGGTCTAGGGGTATCATCTCCTAATCTATTCGCCCCTTTTCTTCTCAGTCTGGATTTATGGATCCAAGCTACTACTGTCTCCTACCTTCTCGTTTCTTTGCCTACATACAAAAGGCCACGCTGGGATCATGGCTGTAGTTTGTCTACTACTAATTTCAAGGGCCTAAAGGCTGCTGTAGAAAATTCCACAGCTGTAGATTTCCGACACCATGAGTTTATGGACATCCTTAGCTCACTGAATCGTTTTTCTTTTCTCCTTGACTTTAATCAGCTACTTGTTCATTTCCCTTCGTAATGTATGAATCTTTATCACTCTCCTCAAAGCCCCTTTTTCCATCCTCACCTCTCTTACTCTTTGAGGATGACCTTGCCTCCTCCTCTATCAACAAAAATGAGGCCAAAGGTGTGATCTATTTCCTACATCTTAATCTAAGCAGCTGTCTATATCCACATCCATCCCCAACTCCTCTCCTCCCACATCAGAAATAAGGGGCCCTGTACTGTTTAAGGACATCCTCTCCACCTGCGCCTTTGACCACGGAGCAGCTTATGGTGAAGTGGTTAAAAGCACAGCTTTAAAGTCGGTCAGACTTCAGATTGAATCTTGACTCCGACACTCACTATAAATGGATTAACTTTTATAAGCCTCAGCTTTCTCTGAAATGAGGCAATAAAGAGTGAAATCTTGCCATTTGCGACAACATGGATGGACCTAGAGGGTATTATGCTAAGTGAAATAAGCCAGACAGAGACAAATATATATATATATATATGTGTATATATATATATACACACACACACATACACACACACACACACACATATATACATATATTGTACACACACACACACACACACTACATCTTCTTTATCCATATATCAATGGACACCTAGGTTGCTTCCATATCTTGGCTATTACTAGTAATCCTACAGGGAACAGAGGGCGCATATATCTTTTCTGATTAGTGTTTTTGTTTTCTTTGGATAAATACCCAGAAGTGAAATTGCTAGGTCATCTGGCAGCTCTATTTTTAATTGTTTAAGAAATCTCCACGCTGGTTTTCATAGTGGCTGAACTAATTTGCAGTCCCACCAACAGTGCGTGAGGGGTCCCTTTTCTTCCCATCGTCACCAGCACTTGTTTGTTGGTTTTTTGACGGCCGTTCTGACAGGCGTGAGGTGATATCTCATTGTGGTTGTAATCTGCATGATTAGCGATGTTGGGCATCTTTTCATATGTCTTTTGGCCATCCGTATGTCCTCTTTGGAGAAATATCTATTCAGGTCCTCTGCCCATTTATTAATTGGATTTGGGCGGGAGTGGGGTTGGTGTTAAGTTGTATAAGTTTCTTATGTATTTTGGATATTAACCCCTTATCAAATGCGTCATTTGCAAATATCTCCTCCCATTCAGTAGGTTGTCTTTTCATTTTGTTAATGGTTTCCCTCACTGTGCAAAAAATTTTTAGTTTTATGTTTTCTTGACATTTTTTTCCTCATAAAAGGATGTTGAATAAAAGTATTTAAACTAGACATTAAAAAGTGCATGGTAAGTGCTTCGTAAGGGGAATACAGGGTAGAATAGGGAGTCCATAAGAAGAACAACTTGTCTTTGTCAGGGGGTTCGGAGAAGGCCTTGCCGAGGCGGTAATAATGGCATCGAGAAATGCCGTCGAGACCCAAAGGAGAAGCTGGGAGTGGCCTGGAGAGAAGTTCCTGCCACAGGACACCATCTCCAGGCTCTCGATGTGAAATGATGTTGTGTCTAAAGAACCAAGGCAGTTTCATGTGGCTGAAAACATGAGTTTGGAGGGTAGGAGGGACGCGGGAGGAGTGTCTGCCAAACTGTGCGCCAGACTTCACTGGCTCCTAAAGTCAGTGGGAGGCATGAAAGAATTTTATTCTTCGATCAAGTTTCTAGACAATTTGAGAGGAGTTGTGCCAGAACGTGGGTGTGTTCTATTTACTAGAAGGTTCTATTTACTAGTGAAAAACACACCAGCTTTAGAGCACTGAACAGAGATGCCATGTGGCTGCTGGCCCCGATGCCAGCTTGAACCCAAACTGACAAAGCGGGGTCCTTCAACCCCTCGGCTTTACACTGAGAAGGCGACCACTTTATACGGATTACGGGGAGGGTGGAGAAGCTAAGAAAGCTCCACGCAGGAAAACAAAACACATCAGTCTTCCTACTAGTTTTCTTTTTTTTTTTAATCTTAACTTCTTTCTCATGAAGTTGTTTGTTTTTTTAGTACCTGGAAACATCATCTGTAAGAAAGCACGTTTCACTAACTCCTTTTTTATTTGCTAACTTCTCTGGCTCATGATGATTATCATAAGATTACAAGAAAAACATATACTTTAATTTTTGTCTAACTTAAAACACATTCTAAAACATGGATAATTTCAAAAATTGAAGAGCATTTTAATATCTAGTCCTAGCGTTGAGGACCTTAATAAATTTCGTATGAGTAGATCTCATCTTTAATCTCTGAGATCAATTAACTGTCCAGTTAGCAGACCTTCACTCATAAAATACTCTATATGAGGCATTTCTGAAAAGATTATGTGTATTAACCTTCTATCGTCTTTCTCTTTCAGATATTTTTCTTTGGATTTGGGTGGCTTTTCTTCATGCGCCAACTGTTTAAGGACTACGAGGTGAGAAGAGATCATTTTGACTATGCTTATACTGTATGAATTTAAATTATATTAAAATGAGGCAAGAAGAATAGTTTCATTAAAGGTCATGTCACTTCCAAGATAGGAAGTTTTTGCCAAACGAGTACCGTATAATTCTTAACTTGGAGGCTTAGTTGATTTTTTTTTTAACCATTTCTTTTTTTTTTTTGGTCTTTATTGAAATAGAATAGACAACTAGTTGCCTGCATTTACATTGTACAATTTGATGAGTTTATTTTTCATTTGTAGTTGGCATACAATACACCAGCCTCAGCTGTACAGCATATTGATCAGAGATCCACACAACTCGCAAAGCGCTCACCCCACCAACTCTAGCAGCCCTCTCCCCCGCCATGTTCATGCCAACATTACTGACCATCTTCCCCATGCTGTACTCTACTCCCCACGTCGACTCTGCAGCCATCCACCTGCGCTTCTCAACCCCTTTGCCCTCTTCTTCCCCCCACCCTCCCATCTAGTATCCCTCAAAATACTCTCTATGAGTTTATTTCCACTTTTGTTGTTGTTGTTGATTTTGTTCTTTAGATTGTATATGTACATGAACACCTGAGATATTTGTCTTTCTCTGTCTGACCCATTTCATTCAACGCGATACCTTCTAGGTCCATCAAGGCAATATCTTTTTCCATCCCCTTCTTTTTAGTCTGTGTGTGTCTTTTAATCTGAAGTGAGTCTCTCGTAGGCAGCATATGTAGGGGTCTTGTTTTCTCATCCATTTGGCCACCTTATCTTCTGGTTGTAGTGCTTAATTCTTTTCCATTTGAGGTACTTGTTGATAGGAATGTAGTTCTTACCATTCTTTATTCCTGTTTTTGATACCTGTTTTTTTCTTAAAGAAGTCCCACCAACATTTCCTGTAATACTGGCTCGGTGATGATAAATTCCTTTAGCTTATTTTTGTCTGGGAAGCTCTTTGTCTGTCCTTCATCTCTAAATGATAGCTTTGCTGGATATAGTATTCTTGGTCGTAGATCCTGGGTTTTCACCACGTCGAATATTTTGTGCCAAGCCCCTCTGTCCTGCATAGTTTCTTTTGAGAAATCAGCTGCCAATCTTACGAGCGCTCCCTTGTAGGTAACTAGATGTGTCTTGGTGTGGACCTCTTTGGATTCCTGGTTTTGGGGACTCTCTGAGCATCCTGGGGTTTTATGTCTATTTCCTTCACCAGGTTAGGGAGGTTTTCCATCATTATTTCTTCAAATCGCTGTTCAACATCTTATTTTCCCTCAGGTACCCCAATGACATGGATATTTTTTCCTTTAATAGTGTCCTATAGGCTCCTTAGATTATTGTAGATTTGGCTTCTTTTTTCTTGCCATTCTGATTGCGTGTCCTTGGCTTTCCCATCCTCTATATAGAGCATTTGATCCTCTTCTTTATTCACTTTGTTCATTCCATTTAATATACTTCTCATCTCAGATAATGTGTTTTTCATTTCTGACTGGTTCCCTTTTATAATTTCCATTTCCATTTTTATGTTTTTTATCTCTTTGTTGAAGTTCTCATTGAATTCATCTACCCTTTCATAAGTTCATGGGGCATCTTTATAACCAGTGTTTTGAACTCTGCATCTGTTAGCTTGCTTGACTCCATTATATCTTGATCTCTGTTCTGTTCTCTCACATGGTTTCTGCTGCTTTGTCTTCCCATTTTAGCTGCCTTTCCATGTCTGTTTCTATGGACTAAGCAAAGCTCCTAGGTCTTCCGGTCTTGTTAGTGTGGATTTGTGAAATAGGTGTCCAGTGGCACAGTCCTCAGAGAGGTTCAGCCACAGGCCAAATTTAGCCTAAGCCTGTGCCTCTCTGGGGACACCTGTTAAGATTCAGCAAGCAATCTGCAGATGCTGTGCTTATAGTTGTCTCAAAAGGCCACACCAGAAACCAGCTGCCTCCAGTGTGAGTCTAGGCGCTGCTCAGCAAGGAGCACCTGACTCGCCAAGGACACACCTGGATGTGGCTTGGATGGGGCCCCGAGTTGGAGGAGGTGGGGTTTCAGGGAATCCTCTGGACGGAGCGACCTCTCTTACCCAGTTCGATGACGTGAGGGCTATGGCTGTGCTGTGTCCGCGCACTGGGAGCGGGGAGGGCTCGACAGAGGAACAGTGGACACCGCAGGCACTTCTGCCGAGGAGAGAGCCTCGCTCTGGCACTCACTCCGACAGCTCAGTGTTGCCCTGTACGTCCCTGTGCAGCCGAACCAACACTGATGCTCAGAGCGAGCAGGTCGTTCACCGAGAAAATGCTCTCGCGATGTGGCCCCTTTAAGAGGCGCCTGCCACTGCCACTCCTGCAGCCTCTGTCCTGGGTCACCCCACGTCCTCGCCCTGCGTCCTCGCCCCGTCCTACCTTCTGCCATTGCAGGGTGATTTCTTGGATTTCTCCCTAATTGTATGGCTTGTTCATCTAGTTCCCAGGTGATTTCCTTGCTGTTTGCTCCTTGTTTCTGTCACAACTTCAATTTGGTCGCCAGAGGGATGGACAGAGCCTCTATCACCTATGCTATTTTTTTTCCCATCCTGATTTTTTTTTTTTTTTTTCTTTTTTTTAATGGCAAATCATGTATAGCCAGAAGCCAGGGGCAGGCAATGTCCTGCCTTGATCATCTCAGTATATACACCAATAGCAGAGTTATTCTTTGGGAGAGAATTTAACTTACGATGTCTCATAAGTGTTCCTGATCATTTGGATATCTGGCCTTCAGTGTTACATGACCGATCTCACATCCTAAGTTAATACCAAAATTCTAAGGCTGGTCTGGTTCTTATCTTAAGCCTCGAATTCAGAAAAATGCCTCCGTATGCTGGACATTTCCTAGTTAACCCTACTCGCTTAGTAATAAGCTCAGTGGTTATGGACTACTTTGGGGTCATTTCTAGGATATTCTCCATTAGACCTCCCCAGGGAGTCTGGGCTGTTATCTGAAAGAGCCCAGGATTCTAGAGCTTTCATTCTGCTCAATCCTTTAAAGCCTCCCGGGGGAGGTTCCAGAACTGGTCCAAGGCCTGCAGAGTGTTGAAGAAACCCTTTTAGCTCTAACCTGCATATATAAATCTGTCATATTTTTCATCAGTGTGCATCAGGAATTCTAAGTCTACTTATGACCCCGTCACTTCATTTTCTTGGGCCTTAAATTCTCTGTCCACAAGAGGATGACGGTAACAGTGAGCCGTGGTCCAGCAGCACCAATTGCTTCCATCCATTTCTGTAGCTCCAGGCAGCTTACAGTTGTGGCCCTGTTTCCAGTGACTTGAGAATTCCTTCAAAATAAGTTTTCTGACTTGTAACCAGAAGATTATCAATCTAGTATTTCAAACAAGGAAGTGACTCTTAGTCTCTACTTGGCTTTTAACAGGTGCGTCAGTATGTCGTACAGGTGATCTTCTCTGTGACTTTTGCATTTTCTTGCACCATGTTTGAGCTTATCATCTTTGAAATCTTAGGAGTATTGAATAGCAGGTAAGTAAGGGTACTAAGTAGCTTTCCTCTTGAAGAGACCTATGTGACTTTCTTTGCAGTAAAAGACTGTCTTGGATCCCATAGCTGAAAAAATCCACCGGGTGGTTAGTTTGGTCTCAGTGATAACATTTACTATGGATCCCAACTACCTAGTAACTGGTTTGACAAAGATTGGGAAATAGCAGGAAAAAAAGTTTGCCCTTAGCTCTGAAATACTAATTGAGAAAGAGGCCATGAGAGCCGAGGTCCCAGGCTTCACTCCTAGAAATTTTCTTTTTCTCGGGCTATTTTCTAAATGAATCCTAGTAATGGCCCTCCACATCGTTCTGCTGATTGAAAAGAGCAGAATTCTCCAGAGCTAGTTAAGGGCTTCAGTGAAGACTGAACTCCACTTCATAACTTAGTTGATTTCACAGGCATGGTCAAGTCTAGTCGACCTTAGAATGTTGTTTAAGGATTTTTTAAAAGCAAATCCTATTCCCCTCTAGAAACATACTTGTTAATTTATTAAACAGTCTACTCCAAATATATCTTCCTTGTTAAACTGCAAGCTTGAAGTTTTTTAGGCCTCCGTTTGTGTGTAGAGGACATCAGCTATTAAGAATAAAATGGCATGTGACTCTGTCGTCGGGAATCTGTGCTGAGCTGAGCTGTCTGACTCGTTACAGGCCCCTGACGCTTGAGACTTACAGAGAGACTGTATTCTCAGGTTCATTTTGTGAGAATCAGAGTTGGTAATTATGATCTCTTGATCAATAACTAAGAATTATAGTGTGGTAAAACCAGAATATGTTCTGACTCTCCTACTTTTCAACTTGTTTTTTAATCATCTAAACCGTTCTAGGATGAGCTGAATACAGATTCTGTGACTAGATAATAAGCCAGTGCTATCTTACATGATAGTTATTAAATTTTGTTATCACAGCCTAGAAGTTTCACTGCTATCTAAGCAGAATTGGCAAAGTTTTTTTAAAAGGACCAGAGAGTAAATATTTTAGGTTTTATGGGCTATACAGTTGTATCACAGTGAAAGCAGCCATGGGCAGCACGTTGGCAGATGGGCGTGGCTGGCCCCCGATCTCAGTCATGGTAGAAGGACTACGGCGCAGATATTCTAAAACCAGAATGAGTTTGGAGAAACATGGCAGAGTGAGAGACGTCCCCAGATCTCTCCCCTTGAAACAACAATGAATTGAACATCTAAAACTCAAAAAAACACACCCAAACTGCACACCAACTCGTCTGAGCGTGGGATCTGCTCATAAGAGCTACCGGGTGTCGGGCGGTGAACTGGAAGAAACAAAGAAGCCGCCTCTCGCAGCCCGAGCGCCCTGCAGGAGGAGCGGGCCGGGAGAAGGAGCAGCGAGGTCCCTGAACAGCCCTGCCTGGGAGAGCGTGAGCTCCCCGCGGCCGGCAGCAGGGCCCAGTCATCGGGGCAGAAAGCAGAGAAGCGGGACGCAGAGAAACAACAGTTGATTTTTACCAGCCGTGGTTGCAAAACCGAGGCTGAGCTGCAGCCCCCAACCCCCAACCCGGAGGGGCCCTCCCCCCATACTCTCCGAGACCGGACACCACAGAGCCCCAGGGAATCTGAGCAAACGCTACTGGAACCGTCACTAACACTGCTGACAGGGACTGAGACTGAGGGTAGTGAGCGCGATTAAACATCGACAAGGGAAAATAAGGCATTAAGGCGTTATATAAAGCAGTGATCCAGAAAGCTTAGACGCCACCTACTGGAAACCAAAAGAAAAGCATCTCTTTTGCAACAGGCTAAAGAGAGACCTTTACTGAGTATTTACCCCAAAGACTTGAAAACCCATATCCGAAAAGATATTTGCACACTGATGTTCATAGCAGCATTATTCACAGTGGCCAGGACATGGAAGCAACCGAAGTGTCCTATGATAGATGAAGATAATCATGCTAAGTGAAATTAGCCAGACAGAAAAAGTTGAAAATCCCTTGATATCACTTATATGTGGGATATAAACCTAAAAGCAACAAATAGACAGGACAAACAGAGACTCATGGACATGGACTATAGACTAGTGGTTACCAGAGGGTAGGGGGTTAGGGGAGGGGGAAGGTAGATGGGGTGAAGGGGGTCAAATATGTGGTGACAGAAATCTAACTATGAGAGGTGACACAGTGTAAATATATATATGCCTTACTGTTAAAGTGTACAGCTGAAACTTATTGGATTTCATTAGCCAATGTCACCATAAATGAAAGAAAAGAATTGCTAGCCTGTATCCCCCTGAGAAGTAAATTTACTAACTCGAATGTAAAAATAATGAATAAACAAACAAAACAAAACCAAAATAAATTTTTTTGGTAGATGATGTCTCCCAACTTTTAACTCATTTATAATTAATAATCCCATGTAGTAAGATACATCACTCTGCTACTTCGGCGTATTTTTCTCAGTATAGGGAAGTATCATTGCAAAAATCTGGTTCTTAGGGTGCTCTTTTGAGAGTTGGGTGTGTGTAGGCTGAGATATGTCTTCAGTTACACTTATTTTTTCCATACTAACATATGGCCCTCCTGCATAACAGGTAGATGGACCTCGATCACGCATTATGTCTGTGCACTGACTGCATTCACAGTAGTTTTCAAAGGCGAGTCTTGGCCCCGACCAAAAGTATTCTTTCGACTCATCTCTGAGCAAAAGTGGTATAGCCTCCCGTTCAAATGTATTATCGTTAGGATCCTTAATTCTCTCAAAAGAATGTCACTTTACCCTCAGCTCAAAAAGTAGTTAAAATACATGGTTTGCTTTCAGTGGGCAGTGTGGATTGCGTTTGTCATTGCCCTCCTTCTTCCAGAAGCTTAGCTGAAATGCGAAGTGGGATTGCCTGGAGGATGTGCAGCTTGTTCGTTTCTCTGGTTCAGTCCAGATGAGCAAAGAGCTGTCTGTACGTCTGGACTAGACAGCCTTGGCCTCCCGAAGGCAGCCTCCCCGAGTAGCTCTTCGTTTCTGCTTCCTGACATCTATGCTGAGCGGAAGGAGTACGAAACGGCCCTCTGGAACTCGGTGTTTCTCTAGAAAGGATGTTGCAGACGTTGCTCGTTGCTCTCACCTTTTCTTCTTTATGAAATCTTTGGAAAATTTCCATTGTGATCTTGGTAATAATTTAGTAATAATAAGAAATCAGGAATAATTGTTTTTCCTTTAAGCAATTGGTTTGTGTTTCTTACAGACACTGATTTATCTAACTGATCAAATTTTCTATTTCATATCAACTTTTGGAAAACTTAAAGTTAAATTTATGACCCACCCATAGCGAGTTTCTAGAACTCCATGGTGTACATTTTCTTAATAGCCATCAAACTTGGCCTGATATTTTACCTCTTTTACTGTTTTTTTCCCCTTTTTTTTTCCTTATAGTTTATTTTATCACCCTATATTTTATATATCCTCATATGCCACTTAACCACTTAACTTTTTTTGAAACAAGGCCTAAGTATGAGTAAATTTAAAATCAATAAATACAAAGGATACCATCAAGAAAGTAAACAGATATCCAAAGAATGGGAGAAAATTATTGTAAACCACCTATCTGATAAGGGACTTTTATCTACGATATGTAAAAAAAACTCTTACAACTCAATTATAAAAAGGCAAATAACACAATTGAAAATGGACAAAAGATCGGAATAGGCATTTCTCCAAATAAGAAATACAAATGGCCAATAAGCACGTGAAAAGATGTTCCACATATTAGCCATCAGGGAGATGCAAATCACAACCACAATGTGATACCACTCAACACCCACCAGGATGGATAATCAGAAAGAATAACAAATGTTGATGAACCTGTGGAGAAACTGATACCCTAATGCACTGCTGGGGAGAATGTAAAATGGTATGGCCACTTTGAAAAACAGTGACAGTCCTCAGAAAATTAAACAGTTATCGTACGACTCAGCAATTCCGCTCCTGGGTGTATGTCTAAAGCAAACTGAAAACATGTCCACACAAAAACTTGTACACAAATCTTCAGAGCGTTGCTATTTATAAAAACTAAAAAGTAAAAACAACCCAAATGTCCGTAAACTAATGAATGGATTAACAAAATATGGTATACCCATACAGTGGAACGAATATTATTAGGCCACAAAAAGGAAGAAAATATTGAGAGATGCTACAACATGGATGAGCCTTGAAAAAATTATGTTAAGGGAAGGAAGCCAGTCACAAAACGCCATATATTGTATGATTCCCTATATATTAAATGTCCAGAATAGGCAAATCCATAAAGACAGAAGGTATACTGCTGATTCCTACGGCCCGGGAGGTCGGAAGGGAAGGGGAGTGATGAAAACATTATAAAATTGATCATGGCAACGGTTGCACAATTCTGTGAATGTACTAAAAACCATCAAATTGAACGCTTTAAATGGTGAATTATATCTCAATAAAATTACTAAAATCCGAAAAATATTTTAATAAATAAAATATCATATGCAATAATAAAGTAGTCACACAAATCAGGTGTTTAATTATAGCGAGGGGATAAAAGAAGTATTTCTGAGTCTTCATCGCACATGTTACTGTTAACATTTATTTTCTTTTAATTCTTATATCAGAACAAGACTCCCAATGGAGAGAAACTGATCATTCTGCTCGTAAGAGTAAACGTTCACAGATGTTACTATACATTGCCTATGAATATAACTAGAACACTGACATTCTCATTTTAATAAGTGCAATTTTAGGAGGTTAAGATGACTTGGGGTACCTTTCAGAACTTTATATTTTTAAATCCATAAATGAGCGGACAGTGACATCCTGTCTGCTGTTGACTTATTGGATGGGACGTATTCAGTACGGAGTTCTCAGAGCAGGAGACCCTTTGGTCGGCCAGGGGGAGTGAAAGTCGCCGCCCCTCCCGCCTGGTGATGGCCTTTGATGCTTGTTTCAGCTCCCGCTACTTTCACTGGAAGGTGAACCTGTGTGTGATCCTGCTGGTCCTGGTTTTCACAGTGCCTTTTTACATCGGCTATTTTATCGTGAGCAACATCCGACTGCGTGAGTACTGTGGCCTCTCATGTTGGCACACGGGAGACGCGTATTCTTGAGGATTCGGACCGTGGAGAGCTTCGTTGCCACCTTACTTTTAGTAGCTACTGTTGCTTGTGGGGCATCTCACACGCATCATCTTAAAAAGGTTGGCACACAAAAAAAAAATTATAGGGTTATTTGTCCTGCCACGGTTTTGTTTCAGTTTCTATTAGATTGTCTCTCTTAACTCAACCCACGTCTTAATTTCAGCCAGATGTCTCAGGTGGTAAGGTGCTTTCTCTTAAGATTTGTAGTGTTCCATCACTCATTTGTCAAGAAGTCAGCCAAATATTAATTATCACAACCTCGTATCTTCAAGTAGAGCAGGCTCTGAGACGTGTATCTATTTAACCTAACGGTCTTGTCTCCTCCTTCTAGTCCATAAACAGCGACTGCTTTTTTCCTGTCTCTTATGGTTGACTTTTATGTATTTCTTCTGGAAACTGGGAGATCCATTTCCCATTCTCAGCCCCAAACACGGTGAGTGTATATGTGGTGGGGAGGGGGAAAGGGTGGCTTATAATTTTCTAATATTGAAAAAATGATTTTTTAAAAACTTCGAATTATGAGAAATATGGCAAATTATTTCTCTAGAATTTCTCTGGTTTTAAATCTCCTGATACTGTATGCAGAATTATGAGAATATGTTTGTATGTGTATGTGGAGTTGGGGTGTCCACAGGCTTTTATCAGTTTCCCACAGGAGTCTGTGACCCAAAAGGTAAATGGCCACTGCTCAAACTATGATAAAGATTGTCTTTGGAGTGTGTATGTGTTTTGAGAAAGAGCGGTGGCATAAAACAATTAGTAAAAATAGAAAAGCTTTCTAGGAGAGATTCTCACACGCAAAAAACGTTCATTTCAAGTACAAGAACAGGTCATGGACAGAGTCCTAACTTCTGTGCTGAAAACAATGAACAAAAACCTCTTGGCTAACAGATTCTTCCAGAACTACTTTAGAAATATATATACAAATCTGTCTAAAATAGAGAGTGTACCTGGAGTAAATATACTAGAGCTTTCATACTGGAGCTTTTTAAGAAATAAACAGCTATTTTACTTTCCCGCTGCATTTCTCAGGATTCTTGTAGCAGAAAATAGAATCTATTCTAACTAATTTAAAGCAGAAAGTAATTTATTACTGGGTTTTAGGAAGTTTGTAGAATTTCTAAGTGAAGACGACAAGTTTTAATGCTACTTAGTTAAGAGAAACACCACAGAAATACCGCAGTAGTGAACTAGAAAAACTCACTCAGTGGAAGTTGTCACCTGCCACTCGGGACCTGTGACATCAGGGACCGAGCAGTAGAACCTCTGCCCAGTTGCTCCAGCTCCTAAGGGCTGTCACCACTCCCACTTTGCTCCCCTTTGCATTTGGGGTCTCACGCGGGCATGGGAATCCATGCAGCCGAGATAACCTTCAGATCCTTAGCTTCAGGGAATTCTGGGAAAGAGCTTTTGACTTTGCAGATGCTGTAGCGTAGGAAGACACGCCAGATGGGATCGGAACAATGTTGAATGAACCAGTCTAGAGCCTGCCTCCCATGCGTCCTTCCTGTCTACTCATCGTCTGTAGTAGGGGTTTGGGAGGAGAGGTTGTGAGCCTCTCCTGCAGGAGGATCAGAAAACACGTGCAGTTTTTTAAAGCATATGCAACATCGTAAACTACGCATTTTAAAAACTAGCTATTTTGACATTTCAAATAGCATTAAAGAAAGCCAAAAAAGTTAAGAAATACCAGCCTACCAAACACGTTCGAACTCAGCATGGTACACGAGCCCTTCTGGCCCATAGTGCCGCTCTCCTCTGTGTGTCCGTCCTCCAGTCCTCCCACATTACCTCGAAGTTTCTAGATCTGTTCTGTCAGCCTGCATAATCCCTCACCCTTTGTCTGCCTGGAAAATTTATTCTTTCAATATTCAACTCTCGTCAATTCCTCTAAGATTTTCCCAGCCATCATTAGTTGCGCCCACCTCCATGCACTTATATCACCTATAAAATTCATAATTCCTCGTTTCCTTTTCTGACTTCCTCATTCACTTAGGACTTCCCTGAGGTCAGAAACTGCATCTTATTTATCTTTGTATCTCTAGTGTCTCGCATGGAATCTAGCACATAACTATTTAATACCTGCTTATTGAATCAGTGAATGAAAAGAAAATTCAAGTCTCTCCACGGTGGTTGATGAGTTCAGGATTGTGACACTCTAGATAGGAACTTAGGGTCTGCCGATGTGGTCAGCATGCAGAAAACACATTTGAAGTAGAGAGGCCCCGGTAATATCTCTCTCATATAAACGTTTCCAAATAAATCCACAGAGAGACAAATTTATGATATTAGACATGAGAGTTAAAAAAGGACCCCAGGACTGATGACATTTTCTAAGATAGGTCATGTAGAAGAAAGAAGATAATTTGAGCTCAGGGTATGTGACCTGTGCATATCCAGATGATGTTCAGTAGGCAGTTGGATGCACAGGTCAGGTGGAAGAAAGGTATGGATTTCTCAGTCCTCATGGAGCTAACTCCAGGAATCTAAAACATTAGGTATTATCAGCTAAATGCCATTAGGTGAAGCTGGGGAAACAGGCAAAGTCACCCAAGGAAAATTGTATAGACTGACATGGAAGAAAATTCTGGCCCACGCAGAGCAAAAGACCAAGAAAAAGCAACTAGAGAAGTTAAGGGGAAACTCGAGGGAAATGGTAGTATGAAAGCCAAGAAAAGGAAATGCACAGGAACAATTCAGTGTCATAAAAGAGCAAATAAAACAAGGATTAGAAAGTGGCATCGACGTTTGCAGCCAGAGGGAAATTCACGACCTTATGATAATAATGGCGAAGAGCCCAGGCTCTGGAAGAACTGGACTGGGTTTGAATCCCGACTCAGCCACTTATTAGGTGTGTGACCTTGACCAAGCTTCTTAACCTCTCTGCGCCTCCATGCCTCACTGTAAAGTGAGATTTTCAAGCGTATCTACCTCATAAGATCATCATGAGGAATAAAGTAATTAATACAGTGACTGCTTAGAAGAGCGCCTGTTCCATAACATGCGCGTGGTGGGTGTTACCTGTTACCTGCCCTTAAGATTCGCAGAAGCGGTTCCATTCAGCGTAGAGGGGAGGGATGAGAGCTGAATTGCAGCCAGTTGAGAAATTAATGGAGCTTAGTGAGTATAAACTTCTTTTAAGGAGCCTGACCGGCTATTCAGGGGGACATGGAGAAGACCGGTAACTAGAGGTAAACTCAAGGCCAAGGACAGACTTTTTCTTATGAAAGAAAAGGGAACTGAAGGGAAAGAACCAACACAGAAGGAAAGACGGGAGACGCGAGAGAGGGGACAGACAGCGGAACAAGGTTCTGGAAAAGGAGGAAAGAGCCTAAGATCAAAGGCACCGGAAGAGAAGTCTTAGCTTTGAACACCGTCTTCTGAGGGGACAAGTTGGGAGGATGATGGCAGGTGTCCGTATTTATGGTAGCGTGGAGGTAGTTAACATCTAATAACGCATTTCATATATAACAAGGGCATTAGCTAAGGAGAACGAGGGTTGGAAAAACGGATTACTGAGTGTCTGCTCAGGGGAGTGGGGAGAAATGGCTGGCCAAAGGCGGGGAAAGGATTTCTCGGTGTTGTGAGCTCTGTTCAGACTGAAGGCCATAAATCTGTCATGGCAGCAGTATTGGTGTGCGGCCGTCATAGGCAGCTTGGGCATGGGCACGGGGCAGGCAGAGTGGCCGATGGATCCGAGGTTGGGAGTTTGCAGGATCCATGCTTCAGGGAGGGCGGGGGAGAGGTGGAGCAAGCGAGCCTGGGGTCCGCTCTCAGTGAAGAAGGAGATGGAAGGTGGGGACAGCAAGGGGCCCGAGACCAGAGGTCCCGAAGAGCTCTGCAGTGGTGCCGTGGGCATAAAGCGCCCAGGGACCGAGGGGCAGCGCTGTCGTTCGGCCGTAGGATGGCCGGAGCGGATCCTGTCCTAGACACAGAAAGTGGAAACAAATCACAAGGACTTTTTTCTGTGATACCAAACGTCCCGAGCCACTTTCGCATTGATTTCTCTCCTTTATCCCAAATACGTCAACAGCAGCATTTATTTTAATTACTGGGTTGGTTTTCAGCTTTTTCAAATAATAAGAAATGATTGGTAATTAGAATATAACCGATCATCTAAAAGTCATGTCTTCGCCTTTGAATTACTCATGCATCCATAATTTCAGCCTATTTTTAGATGTATTATGTGTTTATTGGTGGCAAAAATGAATGAGACTTAAGCTAAAGTTCTTATGACCCAAGGGGGTAAGTAGGTATCAGAGGTAACTACAGCACAAAGTGTTGCCTGCCGTTTGTGCTTTTCCAGCAGACATACTTTCCTGACTTTTTTTTTTTTTTTTTTTTTGGCCAAAGTTTTCACTAAAGTACTTTGCTTTGTTAGAATTCATATTACCTTGAGTAATGGAGATGATTCTGGAAGCATATGAGATAGGAAGGAAATCTATAGACTTTTATATATTTATTGTAGAATCTCTACTTATTAATGAAATTTGGCTCGCATCGGTTAGTCGTATGTCCTTCGTGTTTTCAGTGGTGTTTCCAGGGGGGGCAGGGGGAGCCATTTTCTCTGCATCACCTGCATTGATGTGCGCTGCTGTTTTCAGGGATCCTGTCCATAGAGCAGCTCATCAGCCGGGTGGGTGTGATCGGGGTGACCCTCATGGCTCTTCTCTCCGGATTTGGTGCTGTCAACTGCCCATACACTTACATGTCCTACTTTCTCAGGTAAGGAGCATTTTGTCTCTTTTCTTTTTTCCCATGTCTTGAATACATATGTCGTTATCATGCCACCATCATTAATACTTAAAAAGGCGGTGTCACAGATCTAATATTTATTCTTTTCTTCTGTCCTATGGGCATTGGCCTAGGAATCTAAGTAAGTCTTTTTCACTTACGTTGCTTGCCCTCGTTTGTCCTACATTCATTTATTTTTAAATTGGCGATTTCAATTCGACCCTTCCTATCCCCTCCTCAACCCCCCACTTTTTAAAGGCACATCCTGGTGGACACCAACTTCAGCTAATCGGTCCCTCCCTAAAGTAGGACAACAGAAGACAATGCCAAGTTAACAGTGTGCTCGCACATGCGTCGTAAATGTCACTGAATCAAAGCTAAGAAAGACTAAAAGAGAGCTCGTAACCATCCGTCACCCCGAGACCCCGGAAGGATTAGCTGTAAAAAATGACAGCAAAAGCAGTTTTGCTTATTATAGTCATTTTCATATTTTCTAGAAAAAGACAGGTCCTTGAATAGCTGGGTAACAATCGAGGTTAATGCGTTTCTCCAACTGCCTTGTATTATGCCCAAAGTGGGACCCAAAAGCGTTGCTCACAGTCTGTGCTTATTACAGGAATGTGACTGACACAGATATTCTAGCCCTGGAACGGCGGCTGCTCCAAACCATGGATATGATCATAAGCAAAAAGAAAAGGTAAGAGATCGGCTTATTAAAAACTCGTACTGTCAGAATTTCTCAACAAGAAAATTTAACAATGAGTTGGTACTAACAGCGAATTTCATCTTATTTGTTATCATTGTAAGTTAAGGTACCATCGAAGACACCATCTTGTCCTGTACAAAAGAGAATTTTCAAATGCAGCCTTATTTCTTGACTTTAGATAAATTACCTTGACGTGAATTTTTAGAATTTTTTTTTATATTTGAAGGTATTCTACATTGGATGTTCTATAAAAGTCTGTTGTCTGGCATTTTTACAAACTTTTTCATGCCCGACTTTGATCTTTTTAACTTCATTTTCTCCAACTACTTTAAAAAATTCTCCAAGTCTTCTAGTTATTGTTGTTTTTATTATTTTCAAAGTACTTTTGAATTTTATGTTTTCAAAGGCATCTGTATCACAGTGGGTAAAGTGTAGGCTCTAGACTCAGACTGTCCGAGTTTGAGCCCTTGGCCTACAGCTCAGTGACCTTGAGCTAGTTACTGGATCTGCTTATGTCTTGGTTTCCCCATCTGTAAAATAATAATGAGTTGATATATAGAGCTCTTGGAACAGTGGATTATACATAGCTAAGGAAAACTGTTGAATTTATTAGCAATCTCTGCAGGATAATCATTTAATGCTTCACCTTCATTTATAAATTCATATATTCATTTACTTAATGATAAGAGCCCTAATTTATGCCAGGCAGTGTACTAAATGCCGAAGAGATAGAATGATGAATGAGATAATCCATTCCTACCTTCATGAAACTTATTAGTCCACTGTCTTTATTAAAGTTATCATTGCCCATGTAAAAATGGCAGCAGAGAAATTTTAAATCACATCAGCATTGTTGCATTTCATGTTCTTCCACACTTTTCCATAGTAAGACCTGTAGTCAAGTCGAAGAAGCCTTAATGTAAGAGATAACAATAGGATGATAAAGAGGTCGATATTCACCAACCTTATTTGCCTCCGTGTCTGTACCTCTTTACTAGGATATTAGAAGTAGATAGCACGTGTGTATGCATTTACTTACTTACACGTGTTCTGTTTCCCTTCATTCTATACAGCTCATTTTATGTGAATGAATATCAATGCAGATTTTTAAACCGTAAAAATAAGAACATTATTCAATATTGGAAGATACTTATATAAAAACAATACTATTTTAATTCCCAAGAACATTCTCCCTTTTACTGTATTTTTCGTATTCATATAGAGAGATGACTATAAATCGTGACCCATGTCAAGCACGGCTGTGTACTTTTAAGCCATTTCCTCACTAGTCACGGTCAGTAACTGGCTCTGATCCACACATATGCTGCGATAGACCTTGTGTAGTTAGGATCTGGGATGGTTTGTGGTCCTGCAGTAGGTCTTGTTAATTTGAGTGGCTCTCAGATGACTCAGCGTCCCAACTTGACCTGATTATCACAGTTCTTACCCAGTGGAGCACACAGGGCAGATAGACAGCGAGTGTGAGAGTTCTAGGGCCCTTGGGAGTCATACAGTGGCCATGCTGTTTACCAAAATGTAGAAAAACGGTTTTCACACGTAGAGTTGGAGAAGAGTGGTGACTAGAAAGCCATCTTCCAGTCTAACAGCAGAGGGCCATAGTGAGGTGGCATATAAGAAAAATAACATCTGCTCCAAACAAGAAAAGTTAATGATTGAAATGGGAGAGGAAAGAGGCACACTGTCTTCTCACTTGGAACGCTGAGTGGAAGATGAGATTTATAGTATTTGGGCAACATTCATCAAAAACCTAGTTCAGAGAGTACGAACATGCTGGTTTAGTGATCAAAGCCTTTCGGCTTTTTTTCAGGCTGAGAGAATTAAGCGACTTATTATTTTGTTTTGTGTTTCTGCTGACTTAGATAGTAAAGCTTTTGTTTTGGTAATCTATGATACAGCCGACATACAGCCTCTGTTCATAATCAGTAGTAGTACAGTTTTGAAATTATGGTTTCGTGGAAGATAGAAAACATAGCTGTGAAACTACATCGCGGTATAATGGAATGAATTCAAGCTAGACGGTCACTTTCCAATACACCTGTTAAGTTGTCTTGAACAAATACTAGACTCTCAGTTTCCTCATTTGTAAAATGACAGGGTTGTCTAAAGGGTCTCTAAGATCTCTTTCAACCTACAAATTCTGAGTTTATAATTTTTCACATAGCTTGCAACATATAGAAAAAAACTAGAGTACTATAACATGTAAAAGTTAAATGCAATCTACTACTGCGAAGAAAAAATTTTAACTTTTGCCCTTGAGGTAAGATTTTTTTAGGCTCTCTTTTCAAAATCTGTAGGGATGGGGGGGAGAGGGGAATACATTCACTGATGAAATTTCAGCACCAGCCACAGCTGCTGTCAAATCACAGTACAGGAGACTTCCAGGAATGGCACTGAGCAGAGTTCAAGCAATTCCTTCTACAGAAAATCGTAAAAACTAGAAAATCAGTAACAACAAATATTCAAAGCCACTGGAAAATGAACAGACAGAAGTAAAAATTTGAGAAGAGTATCAGGTAACTAACTGCGTTTTTGTGGCTTTCTTGCCTGGGAGTGCTTGCTGGTCAACCACCGCCCACCCTCTCAGCACCCACTCAAGTGATAAAGTTCAAATTGGCAGAGTAACTGAAAAATTAAAGGGAAATTTTTGGAAGCAAGAGAAATGCAAAAGGACTGAGGTCTCGAATCTACGTATCAACTGCCCAAATCCCTGCCTCATCACTGAACAACGCATGAGCAAAGTGAATACCAGGAAGCCTGAGAAAAAGTAGAAACTAGAAAGAGGCCTTAGAGACACAACTGCCTCTTAATGAGATTCGCAAGTTTGTTGTGCCTTCGAGTGCGTTGCCTGAACTGCGTGTTAGTTGGGCACACGAGTTGGAAGACAGCAAAATTCTTACTGGCTTAAGGTGTCATAAGTTAGAACTCAGGACTGGCCTGGCAATTAGAAATTTAAGGAGTGTCCCTGGAAACAAAGGGCCACAGAGAGGGTAAACCCTAAAATCTGACTAAAAGGTTTCCAGAGTCTTTGTTGATCACTAATCTGCTCGGGCTCAGAGGAGACCACTAGTCAGGCTGAGAAATGGGCAGCTGGAAGCTGAAAAACTGAGCAGAGACGTTAGTTGCTGCACACAGTAGGTGTAACAGTTTTATAGTTTCAGTCCAGGTAAGTGAACCGCGTACTAGAGCAAAAAAACATCCTCAAGAAAACAAAACGGATTCCAGAGTCACTACAGCATACTATCTACAATGTCAGGTTTTCAACCAAACTTACTAGACATGCAAAGAAACCATGCAAACATATTCAAGATAAAAAGCAATTAGTAGACACTTAACTCCAAATAGGCCCAGATAATAGGTAGCAAATAGACTTGAAAGCAACTATTATAAATACATTCCAAGAAATGAAAGTATAATATAATTAATGAACCAATAAGTTTTCCCCCAAAAGAAATGGATACTATATTCTTAAAACGAAAGGAAATTCAAAAGGTAAAAAGTACAGTCACGAAATGAAAATTTTACTAGGTTGGCTTAGCAGAATCGAGATGACAGAAGAAAGAATCAGTGAACTTAAAGCTACATCAACCAAAATTATTCATTCTAAATAATAGAGAAGTAAAAAATCGAAGGAAAAAAAGAAACCAAAGTCTCAGTATGAGAAAATGTCAAGCAGTCCAAAATACTTGTAGTTCGTGTCCTAGAAGAGAAAGAGACAAAAAAACTATTTGAAGAAATAATGACCAAACACTTCCCAAATTTGGTGGAAAACATTAATTTATAGATTTAAGAAGCTTAAAGAACCCCAAGTAGGATAAATACAAAACTACACCTGAGTTTGTGTAGTCAAACTGTTAAAAGACAAAAATAAAGAAAAAAATCTTGAAAGCAGCAAGAGAAAAATGGTACACATAGGGAAAAAATGAAAAAAGTAATGGTCGTTCAACAAGTTTACAGGATACAAAATAAACATACAAAAATTAACTGCATTTCTAGCAATTAAAAATACAGTACTGATTACAGTCACAAAAGGATGAAATACTTAGGTGTACTTCTAACAAAATATGTATAGGACTTATATGCTGAAAACTATAAAATGAATCAGTCTCTCTGATTTCAGGCTATCAGAGTCAAGACTGTGGTTTTAGCAGAAGTATAGACACATACATCAATGGAAACAGAATAAAGAACTCAGAAATAGACCAAGAAATGCAGCCAACTAATTTTTTTCAAAGGTGAGATAGCAATTCAGAGGAGGAAAGATAGCCTTTTCAACATATGGTGCTGGAGCAATTGGACATGCATAGATTTTTTTTTAAAAAGAATCTTAAGTCTCACACCTTATACAAAAATTAACTCAAAGTGTAAAATGTAAAACTTAGGGGAAAAAATAAGAGAAAATATTTGGGACCTGGGGCTAGCAAAGAGTTCTTAGACTTGACACAAAAAAACATAGTCCATAAAAGGAAAAATTGATGAATTGGACTTCATTAAAACTAAAAATTTTGCTCCATGAAAGACACTTTTAAGAGGATAAAAAGACAAGTTACAGACTGGGAGAAAATATTTGCAAACCACATATCTGAGGAAGAACTAGTATCTAAAATATATAAAGAACTTTTAAAACTTGGAGTAAAAAAATAACTCCACTTAGAAAACGGGCAAAAGACATGCACAGATATTTCATCGTAGGGGATATACAGATGGCAGTGAAGCACAGGAAGAGATATTTAGCATCATGAATCATTGGAGTGTTTGTTAAAGAACAAAAATTTAACCAAGTAAATTTAAAGATCTTATCGGCTTGATTGAACAATTAATGAATCAGGCAGCATCCTGTCTCATAAATAGAAAGGTGCTGTACAAAATGGAGATTTTTATAGACAGAAGGAGGGTAGGACAAGAAAGTTAAATTATTTCAGGCAAGTGGATTGTTTCAGCCAAGGTCACCTTCCCTTAGGGGAAAGCAGGGGGTCTTATTAAACAGTTGACCTCACTAGTGCTGGCCAGGAAGTTTTAGACTGATTAGTCTAAAATCCCAGTCCTGGGAGAGGCTGAAACTGCGGTCAGGCTAGGTATTGAGTCTTGGTGGAGCTTAGCAAAAGTGACTCCATTTTGGATCTATCATTTCTTTTTTTAACAAGAGAAATGCAATTAAAACCACAGGATATTATTACACATCTATTAAAATGACGAATTCGTGGCAACACCAAATTCTAGAAAGGATGCAGAGAAACCGAATCACTCATACATTTCTGGTTAGCGTCGAATAGTTTAGTAACTCAGAACAAAGTTTAGCAGTTTCTTCAAAAGCTAAACATGCAACTCCCACACACCCAGCAGTTGCATTCCTGGGCATCTGTGCCAGAGAAGTGAAGACTTTAATGATCACACAAAAACTTGTACACTAACATTTAGAGCAGTTTTACTTACAGTAGCCAAAAAATGGAAATAACCCATCTATCTTTTAATAGATGAATGGTTAAAGAGTGGTACATCCATACCACAGAATACGACTGAGTATTATTAAAAAGCAATGAACTATCAATAGATGAAACAACCTGGATGAATCTCCAGAAAATTCTGCTGAGCGAGAAAAGCCAGTCCACAAAGGTTACCTATTGTATGGATCTATTTTTGAAATGACAGATGGAAATGGAAAGCAGCTTCGTGGTTGCCCGGGTTTAAAGGGGGTGGAGGTGGGAGGAGGAAAGTGAGCTATTCAGGGGCGACGTGAGGGACCCTCGTAGTGATGGAAATGTTCTGTGTTCACCCCCAGGACCGGTTCCCTGGTCGTGAAAACGTTTCCACTGGGGAAAGCGTACACGGGCTCTCTCTCTCTCTGTATTATTTTCACAACCACATTAAAATCTACAGTTACCTCAAAACATTTAATTTGAAAAGAAAAGCCATCGCCGACCTCCCACCAGAAACAGTGGGCTGTCATACTTAAACCGTAGGAGACGTCTTTCAGCCTCTTCACCACAAAGTGCCACCACCAAACCTCAGCCAAGTGCATCTGCTTTTCCAGATTGTGGGTTTTTAAATGGCGTTCAGCTAATAATAGGTAGGTTCTTGCTCTGGCTGCCCCTGTTATAAAGATGCCCCAATACGGCGATCGTGGAGGCGGCGGCGACGATAGTGAAGAGAAGTTCGCGGGGCAAGTGACCTGCTTCGCGGGTGCCTCACGCTGCTTCTCATTCTTTTCCACCACATCTCAGGAAGTTGGTTGCTGTTACTCTCTCTTTTTAAAATGTACGAATATTTTTCTTCTGCATCCTATTTGGTAAGAGCGAAGCTGGTGTAGAGTGAAGCGATCGAATTGAAAGTGAAAGTGAGTTGTTTGCAACAAGGCCACACGTGCCTGTGCAGCCAGCTCTCACCTCTGCACCTCTCTGCCTGTTACGGGCCACAGTCCAGTGTCGGTCACCTTCGCGTTGGCGACTAGCGCCACTCCGCTCCAGCCGCTCTGTGGTGGTGGTACAGACGTTCAAACGAAGGACAAGAGAAATGTCCTCTGTGCTCTCCCCTCCCCCACCCCCACTCCCGTCCTTCAGTCAGCATGACGATGGAAGTGGACTTCAGCTGAGTGGGATGCGGCCTCTTCCTTCTTCAGATACTCATTCCAGCTTTCTCAGCGGTGAAAATGTGAACACTACGGGTTAAGAGTTCACATAACCGGGTCAGCCTCTTCTTGGTTATTAGCTGCGTCTTCCAGTTCTGCTAAGTTACAGTGAGCGTGTGTCTCCTTAAAGGGAAAGGCAGAAGGAGCTAAAGCTTGGAGCTGTATCCCAATCACTCAGTGTGGGTCATTTTAAAGAGGAAAGGGTTAAGTCAGCGTGGCCAACACGCCTAACATTCCTTGTTGTTAATACCATCTTAGCCGTGGCTTAGAAATTCTAGCCCGTAGGACTGCCATTGGGTAATTCGCATTGGTCCCAACCATAAATTCCAGGCCTGCTTCTTCCTCCCCACCACTTCTACCTCTTGTCAGCCAAAACTGACCACTTTGAATTAAATCTTTCTTTAGTCCTACTACTCGATTTTTATAAGACTCATCCTGGTTCATTTTAGGCCTATAGACCTTGACCCATCAGGTGACCATTTATGCATAAATGGGCTTGGTTTTCCTCCCAAGGACCCTTCTTGACGGCCATGTGGCCTTGAGCGGTGGGTGGGCCAGAACACGCCAGCAGCTGCCATCGAGGCGATGGTTGTCAACAGACCGAGAGGACAAGAGGAAGCGGTGGTCAGTTCCTGTCGATTTATTCGGTAGTCGGGGGAGACTGGAGTTTGAGGGAGAGTGGCTGTGTTTTAGACGAGTCCAGGTATATGCGATTTTGCTGGGGGGTTTTTCTCCTTTGTCTGCTTTTAAAGAAACATTTATTGAATTCCTGCCCTGTACCCAGTGCTTTAGGTGTGCTATTATTTTTATTTTGTCCTCAAATGATATGACAGTAATAATTATTCATATCTGTAGAGTGTCGTGTAGTTGACAGCATGAGTCGTTAAGTATTCATCGATCCTCACAACCCTCTGGAGATGAGGAAGTGACGACTCCGAGGTCCCACAGCTTCGGATGGCGGAGCCCGTCCTCAGGGTGGTGGCCTACTCCAAACTCCGGGTCCCCCGCCAGGCCACACTGCTTCTGGGCGCGTATGATTTCCCCTCAGCGGGACTCCAGAAGGCGCATCCTCCCTGAACAGCTCCGCACATGACAGGGGCCCTTACAGAACGGCAAGGTGGCTGAGAACGGGCTGTGACGCTTCATGCTTCCTCGCTGAAGTGTTTGTTTGCTTGTTTTCACTTTTCATCTCAGGATGGCAATGACACGGAGAACTATGTTCCAGAAGGGAGAGGTGCATAACAGACCGTCGGGATTCTGGAGAATGATCAAGAGTGTCACCACGTCAGCACCAGGAAGCGAAAGTATCCTCTACCCCTCTGCTTGGTTCCTTTTTTTTTTTTCCAATTACAGTTGACGGTCACTGTCATGTCAGTTTCAGGCGTACGGCATAGCGGTTAGTCGTTCACATGCCCGATGCAGTGATCCCCTGGCAAACCTAGCACCCACCTGGCACCATTCATTCTTTTTCCCAACTGCAGACGAGGTTCTGACTGCACCGGAGCCCAGCCGGCCGGGGCTGGCGTAGGAAACGCGGCGTGTGCACAGTCATCTCTCCAGCTCCCCAGACGATCGTAGAATCATAAAACCATTGTCTTCGAGCCGAAGGCTTCTTGACAAGTCAGTCTTTCCATTTTACAGATGAGGAAACTGACTCAGAGAAGCGAAGTCACACAGCGGTTTGTGACAAAGTCGGCACCAGAGCTGTGGTCTCCCCTTCTCAGTTCTTTCCGCTCCGCTGTTACGTTTCTCACCACAAAACACACAGGTCCCTAAAGTGGAGGTTCGTGTACGAACCGGTAGGGGCCCGTTCCCAAAGCAGCTTCTGCATCTCCGGTGACTTTTTGGTTTAAAGAATCAAGGAAGCTGGGCTAATGGATTTTTCTTGGCCCAGCCGGTCGCAGTATTAAACTGATTTCCAAACTGAGTAATCAGATCTCTTTGACTATCAGGCTATTAAGGCAAAACTTTGGGGGCCCAGAGCTGACAGCGTATTCCTGCTTCCTTCTCCGGCCTGAGAGCGTATAAATTCCCTTCTTCAATTGGAGGAGAAGGATATAATCTGTTCTTGCTGTAAATTACGACATAACTTTCTGTGTCAAATGCCAGTAAGAATTAGATCAAAGAAAGATAGGCTGACTATGGGAGAGGAGAAAGAATTTTTCTTTAAATTCGTTTAATCAGGAAACACTTCGTTCACCTCTCCTATTTCCGGCCAGAGTGCTTCTTCTCTGTCATGAGAGAGGCAGACATCTAAACAGATAAACAGGTGGTTTGGTGACCTGGACTGTGCCAGTGGCAGCCACTGCCGAGGAAGGCCTGAGGGCACTTTCTGATTTGGACGACAGTGGGAAAAATCACAGAGGAGGGAGCATTTAGAGTCAAGTCAATGCTTCGGTAGTAAAAGGGGCTCTCCTTACTATTTTTATTACTTAAAAATCCACACCAGCCAAAGTTTAGGGTTAAGCTATCTTAGCGACAGTAAGTCAAGTCAACAAAAGTATCAGGATTCTTTAACCTCTCTGAGCCCCGTTTCCTGAGTGGAGACCTCACTGAATTATCAACAGTGACATTGCGTAATGGAAAGAGCAGATCTGGGCTGACTGCATCCATGCCCGTTAGCTGTGTGACTTTCAGCAGGTTAAATGACCCTCTGAGCTTTACTTTCCTTGTCTGCAAAATGGATAACAACACCCATCTCATTGAGAATAATAGAAGATGATGTCTAAAGAACTAAGGAAGTTCATGTCTAGAAAGCCTAGCCTGCGTTAGAACGTAGTAAATATTAATTTCCTTTCCTAACGTATTTATTCAGATAATTAGGAGAAACTAGCCTGTATACTAGGTGTTTTTACTATGTAACCATTTGAGGTTTCAGAGATTACATTTGACTTTAACTAGATAAAACAAAAAAGAAGCGGAATCATCTGTCTGAGCTACTTGAGCTCATGAGACACTGAGTGGTAGTGTCTGGTGGCGATGCCCTTGGCAGAGGAGCTTCCACACACCTGAGTCGGAGGCTGGAAAATGGCCGTGAAGCAGGAGATTGGAACTCTAGGCGGTTCCTAGGGTCCACTGTAGGAGAAACCAAAAGCCTAGGCTTTCTCCATTTCTATTTCTTGAAACATCTGGTGATTTAAACCTTGATGCCCATTTTGTGCCAGATCTCACTCTTATTCAACAGGAAGTGGACGCATTGGAAGAACTAAGCAGACAGCTTTTTCTGGAAACAGCTGATCTATATGCTACCAAGGTACAGAGCAAAGAAATTGAGCGTGCTTTTTGCCGATCTGATGGGAGGGAGAACAAGACCAAGTAGCTTTCTGCTGTCCTCCGTGGCCCAGCAGTGCAAGAGACACCTCATAGCTTCCCTATCAGCCGCGAAGCTTCAGGGGTCTGTACTCATCACGGCATCGCTCCTACGGCTAGCAAAATCCTCCTTCATGGAACACTCTCGATAACAGAAATAAGCGAGATAGTCAGAAGAGGCCTTTCACCGTCTAGAATGGTGGAACACGCCACTTCCTGGTGACCCAGGATCAAGAGGGTCACGCTCCTCCGATCGCTTTGTATTCCCATGCAAGTCAGTAATATTGTAAAAGCTATAAGATGCCCGAGTTGATATGAAAATTTAAGTAGTTAATGCGTGTAAGGTGTTTATCCCCTTTTCTGGCTTAACGTAAGCGTTCAATAAGTGTCGCCCACTAGCATTATTTTAATATTATTGCCACATGTGGTTTTTGGACTCAGCCTGAGCAGCCATTCGTTTTCGTTAATTATATAAATTTATGTTTTGCTGCGACTGACCATGTTCCATGTTTGTTTTTCCTCAGGAGAGAATAGAATACTCCAAAACTTTCAAGGGAAAATATTTTAATTTTCTGGGTTACTTTTTCTCTATTTACTGTGTTTGGAAGATTTTCATGGTAAGTGTATTATTTTTTTACTGTCAGGGGTCAGGTGGTTTTCCCGGGTAATGGCAGAAAGAGAAAAGTGGGTTTGATTGAGGCATTGAACTAAATTTCAACCTAAATTTCAAATCTAGTCGAGTCAGCAGAGAATGTGATCTTTCACATATTTGAGCCTCTCGTTTCCTTCTCCTTCTTAGGTCACCTAGAAAAGGGAGGTTGCGTTTTTCTTCTGTCAGAAATCATTAATAAGGTCTTAGATTATGAAATATACGAAGTGCTTATAAAAGTTTATTTCACAGTCTGCTTTCTGCAGTATCCATGAGCATATGACTGTACTTCACTCCACTCCTACCTTCGGCTAAGAACAGAACCACCTGTCCTTTTTAATTACGTGCATAGACCTAAGAAAATTAAGTCCAAAGTAAATTCTACAACATTTCTATAGATAAATTCATCCTACGCGATTATAGCTCTTATTCTTTGTGGCTGTCCCATAACGTCCTATGTTCTATGTGCATTATTCGTCTTGTCACTCTGCAGGTATTAATGGATTTCAGTGTGATTACAGAAAAGGCTGATGTGACTTTCTGGTTCAGTGATTGTTCTACTGAGGCTGTTTGCACAAAGAGGAGCTTTGTCAGCTTGTTAGTTAATTTTTGATCAAGGTAGATGAATGGAGGATTCTGGATTTAACAGCTCTAAGGTTATAATAACTTGATGTCAGTACCTATTCATTTGAAATCTTGATTCCGTGGGAGAGGATGAATGAAGATAGCTAAGCTACTAAAACGTTCAGCCTTTTGGGGGTGCATCTTTTTTAACAGTTTTATGAGGTGTAATTGACATTCATTAAACCGCACATATTTAAAGTGTACAATTTAGTAAGTTTTGACAAATGTGTACACCATGCAACAACCATCACCACGATCTAGATTTCCCTGTTCTGGACATTTCACGTAAATGGAATCGTACAATTTGCGTGTGAGACGCTTCCTAACTTAGCAGAATGTTTCAAGGTTCGTCTGTGTCGTAGCCTCTATCAATGCTTCATTCCTTTTCATGGCTGAATAATAGTCATTCCATCGTATGTATGTACCACATTTTTACTTATCCATTCAGCAGTCGATGGACATTTAGGTGGTTTCCAGCTTTGAGTCATTATAAATAATGCTGTTATGAGCAGTCATGTATTAAGTTTTTATGTAGACACGTGTTTTCATTTCTCTTAGGTCTATACCTGTAAGAATAAAATTGTTGGGTTGCATGCTAACTGCGTGTTTAAACTGCCCCACTGCCAGGCCGTTCTCTGCGTTCCCACGGCAGTGGGAGACAGTCGCGGGTCCTCACATCCTCGCCAGCACTGCTTATCTGCCTTTTCAGTAATAGTCATCCTAGTGGGTGTGAAGTGCTCTCTCTCTCTCTCTCTCATTTTTAATATGGGCAACTCGTATCTTTTCTCTTTTTTCCCTGATCAGTCCAGATAGAAGTTTATCCATTTTATCGAACTTCTCAGAGAAGCAGCATTCTTTGGGTTAATTGATTTTCTCTACTGTTTTTCTGTTTTCTGTTTCATCAATTCCTGCTCTGATCTTTATTATTTCTCCTCCGATGCCTATTTTGGGTCTTCTTTTTCTTAAAGTGGAAACGAAGATCGTCAACTTGAGCCTTTTTTTAACGTAGGTGTTTTAATGTTATAAATTTCTTGCTAGGCACTGTTTTAGTTGCATCTTTTTTTGATAGGTTGTATTTTTATTTTCATTCAATTCAAAATACTTTCCGATTACCCTTTTGATTTCTTCTTTGGCTCATGGGTGATTTAGAAGTATGTTTTGGGGACCTTCCAAAAATCGTTCTGTAATTGATTTCTAATTTAATTTCATGTGATCTAAGAACATACTTTGCATGATTTGAATCCTTTTAAGGTTATAGTCCTGTCAGTTTTATGCTTCATGTATTTTAAAGCTCTCTTATTGGGTACATAGACATTTAGGGTCACTTATGTACCCTGTGTCAAAACGCTCCTTTTATCATTACGAAACGACTCTTTTAATCTCTGGCAATATTTTTTGTGTGAAATCTACTTTGCCGATATGAATGTAAACATTCCCGCTCTCTTTCGATTAGTGTTGGCATGACATATCTTTTCTCATCCTTTCACTTTTAAGCTGTTTGTATCTCGGTGTTTAAGTCGGGTTTCCTCTAAGCAACATATCGTTAGGTCTTGCTTTTTTTATCCAGTCTGACAGTCCCTCCTGTTTAATGAATACGTTTAGACCAGGAGTCAGCCATCTGCAGCCCACAGGCCAAATCCAGCCACCACCTGCTTTTGTAAATAAAGTTTTATTGGAACACAGCCAAGCCCACCCACCTACACATTGTCTGTGGCCACGCCCACACAGCGGTGGCGGAGTTCCCCAACTCCTGGGTTATGCCGTTTGCATTTAATGTGATTGTTGGTTTGATTGGGTTAAAACAACCATAATTCTATGTTTTTTATTTGTGTCATCTTTTCCTTTTTCCCTTTTATTTCCCTGCCTTTTTGATTAATTGAATGTTTTTTGTAATTCCATTTGATCTCCTTTGCTGGCTTATGAGCTGCGACTCTTTTTTTGTTGTGATTGTTTTTAGAGCATTCAGAAAATAACCCCGAGAATTAAATTCCTTGACTCTCACACTGACTTCACTGACCAGGTTGTTTGTTACCTTTCTGGCTCCTGATAATGTCATATGTCATAGCCTATCCCCCTTCACTCTTTACAGAAAAGAGAGAAAGGGTAGATCAAGACTTTTGTTTGCCAGATGTGACTAGCCAAAGCAGATTTCTTACGTACGATGCACACTGAGAGTAGAATTGCATTTTTAGGAACATCCACCTATAAGATACATGGGTGATGAATTCATTATTTCAAATCACTTTTTGCAATAGTGCTCATTGAGATGCTCTAATGTAAAGATCTATATCTCTGCAGGCAACCATTAATATCGTTTTTGACCGAGTTGGGAAAACCGATCCTGTCACCAGAGGCATCGAGATCACTGTGAATTATCTGGGGATCCAATTCGATGTAAGAGTTATATCGAGATCCTGGTTTTTTTTTTTATTTCTTTCTATTTTATCTGCTATAAATTACAATCGTTAAGAGTCTAATTCCTTACTATAGGGATTAGCATCTGTTTTGGTTCTTCCCACTCTGTATATTTCGACATTCATATGGCAGATTTGTGAAGGGCATAAAACTATAGTTAATGACCGGTGCGTGCTGGTTATTTCTGCAGTGCCTCCTGGCTTCTCCGTAGCCAGCTACCGCTCCCCAGTCCTCCCCATCGAATATTCAGACACCTCTCTCTCTCATTCTCGATGAGATCTTCAAACACACAGCTTACCTTTGATTTCTCTGGTAGAAAATTAACTACTAATTACTGTTCTTTGTTAGCACTGAAATGATTTCTGCTGTAAAACAATTATCTTTATCAGTTAATGTGGACTCTGAGCTAACGGCGGTGACTGTAACATGTGCACCAGTTTTTTTAGTCTTTGCAACTGCTTTGTCACCCCACCGTCGCTTAAACACTCTTGTACCAGTTCAAGTTTAATGTCTTCATCTGTAGAATAGAATATTTTCCAGGTATAAATATGGCCAGTGTGGCGTTCCTTGTCCCTGTGAGGGCCTTTTGCCCGTGCCGTGGTCATGGCCACAGACTGCATGCCACCCCCAGCCGCCCGTCTCAGCTGGGCCGCCCGTCTCAGCTGGGCCCAAAAGGCACTTTGCATAAACTGAAAGCGAACCAGAGAAAATTGAGCTCCAGCCTTTAAGAAACAGCTCAAAGCGCACGTTTTTTTGATGATAGACCAGCAGCATCTCCTGCTTCACATGACGGAGCATGCTCTCGCTGTCTTTCAAGCAGTATGCAGGTCATACTGTGTTTTCCTCTTTTAAATGTTTTACCGGGCTACATTTTAGAGATGCTCTTCCTTATCAGGGCTTTCAGATGCTCTTCAGTTGCTGGGTTCCACCTGTGATTTATTTATATACTTTATATAATTCGTAATTCTGGATATAATCTTTTAGAAGTTAGTAATAGCAGCTCTCCCTCAGATACTTTTCAGAACTGAATCAAGCACAGGGTCCCAAAGCTGCCTGTCACTGTGAAGCAGTCCAAAAGGAGAAAAAGTATCATCATCATTTGATTCAAACTGAAGGTCAGCTGCTTCCTAGACCATGGCTGGGAATGTCTGTATATTCTTTTATTATAAAAAGAAAAATTCTTAAAGTCTTAGATGATCAGACAACTGTCATTCACAATATTAAAAATAATCAAGCTGCTCTTTGATTTCCTTGTAATTCATGCTTTTCACTTATCACACTGAAGCTCTGTCACGACTGTTTTTTCTGATTTATGAGTGTTATTTTCATCACTGCAGTTGCCTCCTGTCCTGAAGTCTTGATTCAGTCTGCTAATAAAGATGTCCCCTGCGGCCTTCCTGTAGGTGTTTTAGTTGTCACTTACTCGCTTTCCTCCCTACTTAAATTTTTTTTTAAATCAGGTAGGGCTTAATGAAGTCCCCTCTCGCAGTCACAGAGGCCATCAGAGTTGTACCTTCTTAGCCTTCACATCTCTCGAACAAAGATTTAACAGATTTTTTTTTCCCTATTACGGTGGCAGGTGAAGTTCTGGTCCCAACATATTTCCTTCATCCTCGTTGGAATAATCATCGTCACATCTATCAGAGGATTGCTGATCACTCTTACCAAGGTATGTTGTGTCACGGACTTAAAGAGTACTTATTTAATTACATGTGGTTCCATGAAATGATTTTACCTAATGATCTCTGCCTTCTGAGATCTCAGACAACAGTCACAAATATTTCAGAGACATACAACAGAATTTTAAAAAGTTAAACTAATGTATAAATTGATGATGTATTTATGTCATATACCACTCGGATATGTACAGTTAGCAAAGGTCATAGAGTGAGACCAGGGTCTGCTTTGTTGACTCTGTCCCCGGCATCTGGAACAGAACCCGGCACGGGGTAGGCAGGCACTCAGCAGATGCCGGAATGAAGGCGCTGGGTCTCTGAGGTTGGCGTAACTGACAGCCACTTGTCAGGAGGATGTGGAATTCGGAGAAGCAGGATGTTCAGCTGTTTTCTCATCAACATAGGAAAGCTCCACGGAAGGTAAATCCTCTGGTAGAAGAGGTAGAGATTCCAAGATCCAAGAGTTCAAATAAAGAGGAGGTTGGGAGAGGAGGAGACGGGACCCTCAGGCATCTAAGACAATTTTGGAAAGAGCTCAGGAGCCTCGTAACAATCACACGGGCTCGGAGTAGCTTACAGCGACGGTCCTGCGTGTGACGTGGTTTCTGAGAAGTTTGATAGCGATTGGGATCCTTCCATGTTATGCTGTGATACGTAAACCACCACCAGCTGCCCGTGGGAGAGCTGTCCCCGGATGGTTTCCCAGCCGTCCGGACAGCCTCAGTCATGGGAGCTGTTCCGTACGGGACCGTGGCACAGAAGGGACACTTCATTAGATGTCAGCCATGCTACTCGATGCTCTTGACGCAGGAGTCTAGCAGAGCTGCGCAAACCCACCTCCTCTCCCTTTCTTGACAGTTCTTCTACGCCATCTCGAGCAGTAAGTCTTCCAATGTCATTGTCCTGCTGTTGGCACAGATAATGGTAAGTTTAGCAAACTTGCTTCCCGTTTACAATGGCAAAATGCCAGAAGTGTGTGGTTTGCTCTTAAGTGTTTTAACCACTTCCTCCCACCCGTCCCTCACTGCATTCGGAGTGAATTCTGGGTCTCCGTGTGCGGCTTCCAGGGCATGTACTTCGTGTCGTCCGTGCTGCTGATCCGGATGAGCATGCCGCTGGAGTACCGTGCCATCATCACGCAGGTCCTCGGAGAGCTGCAGTTCAGCTTCTACCACCGCTGGTTCGACGTCATCTTCCTGGTCAGCGCTCTGTCCAGCATACTCTTCCTCTACCTGGCTCACAAACAGGCACCGGAGAAGCATATGACGCCTTGAACTCATACCTGTCACAGACTGCTAACAGGCCAGTGGCGTCAGAATTTGGATGTAAGAGGGAAAAAACGGAGGGGACCGGGGCCTGGTATTTTTTAAGCCAACAAACGCTAGGGTAGCACACGCTGCCTGCAGCTCTGCCTTCCGCGTCAGACGGTACTGTGACCGTGAAGCCAGTATGCAGCCGAGAGCAGCCTGCGTGGGTCCCAGGAGGGTGCAGCGTCAGGGGGTGGGCGGGAAGGAGCTAGGAGACTGCGGGGTGGGGAGATCGTGGGGACACACGGGACCCCCACAGCAGGAGCCGTCTAAGGCAGCTGGGCCGGACACGGAGGACTGCTAAGTCAAGGTTCACATGGATGGAGAAGGTCACGGCTTTCCCTCGAGACTTTCATTAAAATTGGAGATGGTGATGCTTTGGCCTCAACTTCATTTTACCGGATAGCTCGGGGTTACACTCGTGGGATCCAGCGCGAGTTGACATCCACCCGCCCTTCCCCAGCCCCCGCCCCGTTAAAACAAGCACGAGGGTATCGTTCTTTTCTGGGGATGGGATGGGACGGGATGAGGTGCAACTAAAACAGATTCCAGCAAAAGAGACTTCCAGTATGCCATTTTTCTTGATTTACTTCTGACTTGATGTTATTTAAAAGTGAATCGCTTTACATTCAATTCAGTGATGTCTCGCTTTTTTCTTTCTACCTGCCCCTCGTGCTGTGGGTAAAGCAAAGAGTAACTAACTGGAATAAGTCACCCGATTTCTTCACCTATAAAAGGTAGGTGTTGGAAAATGTTTAGAACACTCAGAAAGGCAATTTAAGAAAATCCTGAATTTTATTACCAGATAGTCTCTATTGATTACTAAGATCGTATTCTGAATTTTATCATTTTGGGTTTCTAGAGGCAAAACAAAGGTCAAAGCATAGAAAGTTTACCAAAAACCAAAGCGCTGTCTAACCTAAGGTTAGGTCAGCTGACAGGGAAGATTCAAAGCATACCCAAAAGGCACTTTTAAGGGCATTTATTTTAGCAATCACAACATCCTTTAAAAAGCATAAATTGAATTTGCTTATCTGCTCAGATCCTTTAATCAGCAGCTCTCACACACACAGATTTATGAATCACCTTTGGCGCTCAAAGAGTCTGCGGAAGGAAGAGAGGTCATCATACAGAGAAATGTAGTTCAGTTGATGCTTGAGAGAGATCTCATGAAAAAAATCTGGCTCCCGCCTCAATTTTCCCTAAGTCAACCATAAATAAGCCAGCTGCAGAAGCCGCCCCTGAGACAAAGGACAACAGAAGACAATCACACGTGCTGAACTGGCTTCCGCAGGCGTCCTCTGACGGACAGCAAACGGGTGGCAGCTCCTTCCTTGGGAAAGGCTTCCTATTAAATACCCAGAAACCGCTAGCAGCCAAAGCCGTCACTCGTTCTGATCACATCTCTGTGTCTTCAGAGTTGGAGGAATGAGAGGCTGTACTGGGGGCCTGTGCAAAGGAGAACAAAGGGTCCGTGAGCAGAGTGAGCATCAGGACGTGGATGACTCTTCGAGAGCTGCGTGACTTAAGTCAGGGACGAGAGTCACTTCCCGGAGGCCAGGTGACCTGCTTCTGTGTTGGGCTTCGTTTCCAGCTTGCTGGTTGGCACTAACAAATTTGTTAATGTTTCTATTTCTTTTCTGTAAAGCTACCATAGTCCTGTCATTGACTCCCTAGAGCGATATCATAGGATTCTTAAGACGGCTAGTGTCTTTGTTAAGCGATTCAGAATATGGTCAATGGCTATGGTCTGAATGTTTGTATCCCCCCCACCAAATTCATATGTTAAAATCCAAGGCATTGGGCGGGGGGCCTTTGGCAGGCGATTAGGTCGAGAGGACAGAGCTGGGATCCGTGTCATAAAAGAAGAGGATGCCCAGACCTCCCAGCCCCTACCCGCCTCTGAGGGCAGAGTGAGAACGCGCCGTCTACACCCCGGAAGAGGGTCCTCACCAGAACCCGAACCTGGTGGAGTCACAATCTCGGACTTCCTGCCTCCAGAAATGTGAGAAATAAATGCTGATGTTTATAAGCCACTCACTCGGTGGTATTTTGTTGTAGCAGCCCAAACACGCGCGCACACACACGCACACACACACCCCCGCTAAGTGACAGCACTGGCA